ACTTCCAAAGCTCACATACGCGAAGGTACGGTATTCAGCAAACTTGACGTTAAAGAAGCATTTTGGCACGTTCGCCTTGATGAGGAGTTGAGCAAAATTACAAATATGATAACACCCTTCGAGAGATACAGGTGGCCTCGTTTACCTTTCGGATTGAAAGTGTCTAGTGAAATCTTTCAGCGACGGTTAAACGAAGCATTATCAGGATTGGAAGGTGTGTTTAGCATTGTCAATGTCATTATTATTGCAGGATGCAGGATTCAAGATTATTCAAGATGCAGAAAGTTTTCCAGAGATGTGAAGACTAAAGAGAGACATATTACATTAAACAAAGATAAGGAAGAATCCGGACTTCGTGAAACTTCCTTTCATGGACACAAAATTTCTAAGGATGGTGTCAAGGATGAAGAAAGTAAAGTGAAAGCTATCCTTGAAATGCCAGCACCGACTGATGTCTCGGGAATCAAACAGTTATGTGGAATGGTTCAATACATTTCAAAATTCCTACCGGACTTGTCGAAGGTATTGAAACCGCTACGACTACTTACACGTAGAGACCAAAAGTGGAACTGGGACAGCAAATGTGAGTCAGCATTTTAGACATATATACATGTACATGTATATTGTTTAACGTCCCTTTCGAGAATTTTTCACTCATATGGAGACGCCACCACTTGCCGGTGGAGGGCTACAAATTGTGTCCTATGCTCGGCACTCAGGGCCTTTGAGCAGTGAGGGATATTTTTCGTGCCAGCACCTACTGGGACAGGGGACCTCAGTTTATACGGTTTCCACGTCCCACAGTGGGATTCGAACCCGCGACGTAAGGATTGAATCCTTACTTCACGACTCTAGAGCAGACGCTCTAACCACTGCGCCACGCGGGCGACGCATTTTAGACTTTGAAGCATAAGTTGACAGAAACTTCAGTTCTGGCTTATTTTGATCCTTCAAAGGATGTCACACTGCAAGTTGACAGCAGCAAAGAAGACATTGGTGCCGTACTACTCCAAGACATAAAGCCAGTCGAGTACGCACCAAGAGCTCTTATATAAGCAGAGAGAAAATGTGCTCAGATAGAGAATGAAGCTTTATTCGTTCTCTATGGACTTGAACGCTTTGATCAGTACACTTATGGAAGGAAAGTTTTTATCCATAATGATCACAAACTATTATCTCAATATTGCGCAAACCATTAGGATTTACCCTTAAAAGACTGCAAGACATTATGGTGCGTTACTTCAGATATGATGTAGAATTCGTATTTGAGAAAGGAGTAAACCTTATTATAGAGGATACGCTAACCGAGCTTTTCTCATGACAACGGAAGAAAGTGTAGATGAGAGTCAAAGAATTCTATCTGTCTCAACGTTACAAGAAAAAGACGGACCAGATATCAGAATTCAAGAAATTAAGGACATGACTGCTAAAGCTAGATTCAGCGATGCAAACATTGACCGACACCATAGCCAATGGATGTCTTGAAAGTAAACAAGATCTTCCAACGAGTGTGCGTCATTACTTTGATTTTCGTGACACATTAATCTTTGAAGATGGATTCATTTTGAAAGGTGAAGCAGTCGTCATTCCAAAGACACTTAGATCAGACTTGAAGATGCGATTACACAAAGCACATCTAGGATATGACAGTATGATTAGGAGAGCTCGTCGTGATCAATCTCCATTTCGTGATGAACCAATCAACAAACGTGAACTCTGAATTTCCGAAACCGTTTAGTGGACCAAACGAGTGTATGTTTAGCAAACAGATACCGGTGATTACAGACACGAAGAACAACATTGCGTACCAAACTCGATTCCAGAAACTGTCGTCAGTGAGCCTCATAAGGATGTTACACCAGATACTCGTGAAATATGCCAATATCGCGTGAACCGTCTTCAAGGATCTGTAGGAAACCAGCATACTTGAAAGATTATGTCCAAAATTGATTGATATACTGTTTAATTCTATTTGATTATTTTGTTAGAAAGTTAATTAACAGTTAATGATCATTTATTTGGGAAATGTTTAGTTTAATTGTTTACACAATGTACATCTTTCTCAGAAGGGGGGATGTTGATGTATTATGATCGGGCTCGGGATGCTTGTAATTTTGTTGTTATGTTTAAGCACCATTTTTAGCCGGGCTTATTGCTCAAAGAGCAATTGCCGGCTTATGTCATCCTGTTCAAGGCAGGAAGTCAACCCCATAGTCGCCATTTTAAAGTTACGAGTAAAAATATAGTTCTTGCTCTCAACCGCTTTTGAGATAATACAAACCACAGGAATTCGCGTACCTATCAATTCTACCGAAATTTTCCGTAAATAAAAAAATACGTTATACCCATAATAATAACACAAGGAGTACAACGCATTTGAGGACACCGGGATACCCCTCGCTTAATATCGAGGCCGCCACTCAATCAACTTTCAATCAAAAATTATAAAACACAAACCAATCTTTTCAGAAGGGACCATTCTTTATGCCACTTAATGCATACGATTTCAAATGCATGTTTTACAGCAGCAGCCGTGACTTTTCTCCACGACTTTGCTCAAATTTTTGTTGTCCGCGACGCCATTACGTGACGTCATGAACGTGTCCATTCAGTTCTAAGTCAAAGAAAATAGTTCAGTAACGTAAGGATTTTTGATAATCAGTGTTATCGTAGTTCTCTACACATACGAGGTAAAGCAGGAAAGGGAACAAGACTGGCCCGTTTGTTTACATTCAGCTGCGGTACCAGATTAATTCTGATTCCGACAGAATCGGACCGTGGTATTAGGATTGAAAAAATCACTGTCAGTGTCTTATCATTTATATGGATAGTTTTTTCATCAGAATATAAACGTATGATTCATGTAAGAAATTCACTCTACTCTGTAAATGGGCCCGGCTCTCTGTACTTCTGAGTACTTTGATTTAATAAACGTTTCATCTAAGAAATCATGTTTCATCAATAATTAGCCCTGATAGGCATATCAACAGGGTATACATGTATTGCTACCCTGATCCATCAGTTCATCTGTCACTCTTTCTACTTCCTCAAGATCTTCTTTTCTTTTAGTAGTTCAATTTATCTGTTCTGTTGGAATATGATAAGCAGTGTCCAAAAGATGTGCAAAAAACACTTGGAATTTTAAAATTTTACCTTATGAACAAATCAGAAAAAAATGACGTTTTTTTTTTTTCCAAAAATCGGGTCTGAAGAGCTGCTTTTCTATTTTGCGCAGTAGCCACATCATCTTTTGAAAGATGGTTGAGGATACCACGTGTATATGTAAAATAAGGTTTCAGAATTTTCATTTTACCTTGGGGGTCAAATCAGGGGTTGAAAATGATGGGGGAGGGGGTTATAACTATGATCTGATCCCAGAACTTCCAAGTACATTTTACACAGAAGCCTAATCATCTTTAAGAAGATGCTTGGAAGTTACAAAGTGTGCAATATAAAGATTTGGAATTTTTTAGTTAAACTGGTCAAATTTAGGTTGAATAATGACGTTTTCACTTAAAAAAGACCTGGCACCTAGAACTCATCTTATACTTTTGTTAAAAGTTGCTCGTTTTTAAAGAACTTCATGCAATCTATTTTCCAAAATGACCTTTAATTAAGAAGTTATAGCCAAATATGGAAAAATCCTTTCCGACCCATAACTAGAAAACTATAAGACTTACAATCATCAAACTTGGCTAGTTTATGCATCTTAGGTAGAAGGTGTGTCGCGACCTATTTCAAGGTCAGTTGACCTTTAATTTTAGTGAAATTAAAAAAAAAATGTGTCTTATTACTATTCATTTTCACATTCCAAATAATGTAAGAGTATAGCACTGTCCCCTATTGAAAAAGTGTTAAATCAAGAAAATACTTATTTTTTTAAGCATATATACTTGACAGCAATCTATAACAAATATAATGTATGTTAGAGAAATTCTACCTCTCCCATGAGTGTAATTTACAAGCACTGGTCAAGAAGAATTTTGATGACAGAAAATTGCATGTCAAATTAGAGAGAAATTAATGAGTTTAGTGTGAGGAGCTAACTGGTAGACCATTGGTGTTATCTATATCCATTGAGTATTGGGCAAATGAGTAAGCCTGTACTTTGGATTAAAAATAGCTCTTGTTGGCTAGCCTAAGATTTAAAATGAATTTGATGAAAAGTAATAAAAACTAATTTTATATTGCACGCTAATAAACTAAACTGCAGATATTATATAATATTATTAATTTACAAACTAATTTCACGTGGTGGGGTGGAATCAGCATGTCCATATCAATTACATATTAAAACCTGTCGGACATTAAATCTAAACCAAAAAAAATCTTTAAGTATTTTATATGTTTTAAAAATTTGTTTATGGTAGATAGTGCAGACACATTCATCTCTTGGTAGTAATGAGTAGACAAGCATCCAGTTAAAGATTAATTAATGAGTTCAATGTAGGAAGGCTATCTGATCAAGCAGTCTTATCTGTATCCTTTAGGGATTAGACAGAAAAATAGCTGGTCAGTTTAAATGGCATATGTCATTTGATGGTCAGCCTTTTCTTTTCAAAATTAATTTGGTATAGATTAAGGTGTTAAGACATTTGATATTGATTATTATGATGGGCATTAGACAAGGTCTAACACAACCAGCATAGAAATCTATCAATGATGTAATATTTATTATAATTAATGCCTACATCACAGGGAATGGATAAATATTTTAAGGAATGGAAAAAACATGGAAATCTTAGAATCGAAGTAGACATGATTTTCGTGCACGCTAAACTGTTTAAGAAAATTGTAATTTTTTGACGGGCGGTTCATGCTGTGGTGCGGCACTTTATTTAATTAGGTATTCCGATTTATTTTAATAGTATATTTCTTTTCGTTAATCAAAATAAAACTCTAAAAGTTTATACTATTATTCACACCCTTACCGTTTACTTTAAATTGATGCGCATGCAATTGTTAAAATAGAATTTGATTATCGAAGGCATCATACTTACGTACACAGTCTCTCCAAGTGAATGACCTAGAACCTACAAGAAAAAAACTGGATTTTCATTTTTTTTGTTGTTGACTTCTTTAATCGCAAAAAAGATATGAATACAAATCTCGAATCTTGGAATATAATTTAAATTATTTAGTTAAAAAATACCGATGGTTTAAAATCACCATTGTTTGTTGGATGAAACATTTCAGTTTACAGTTGTTTTAAAGAAAATGGTCTTTAAGTGTATGGAAACCCTAAAAACAGATACATAATTATCATTATTGGACATGAAGGCTTCTGATTATTACTGGACATGAAGGCTTCTGATTTCATATTTATCAGTTTCCAATTAAAAATGATTTGTGGAAACTTATTTATATTCTTGGATTCTTTACAAAGTAGAAAAAAGTTTATTTCTCATGAACAACAATAAATGTCAAAACTATTTTGCTTGCTATTTTTTTCCAAAATGATCCTTAAATTTAATACCTTTGTTGCGATTCATTATAAAAAAATGTTCATTTAAGTTAATATTTAAAGAATTTTGAGAATTTATGAAATACTGCAATTTATTTTGTATCGAAAATGATCGATGTAGCAACTTATTGAAAAAGTATTGTAAAATTGTAAATATAAGAAATGAATTAAAGTTTCGAGATTAAATAAAATACACGAATTACAGTGTATGATGATTAACGCCGGTATATTTTAAATGTTCTTCATGAAATGTTCCGGCGTGAGGCCGCGTATTGACAAATAAGTTGATGTTACAGACCTTTTAAGCAAGCATTTTGCTTTCGACAAAAGACAAAAACAAAATGCAATGCTCCATCTTAATAAAAACAAAAGGTCCATGACTAACAAAGCTCTCCTGGGTCATTATGGTTTGTTATTCTTCATTAGCAGCTTCCACATGTAAAAGTCCTTGATCGCATCATCAGGCGTTATGATTGGTAAACACTTAAATATTTACATTTGCTGAATATATTATCCCCCGTTTTCTTAAGAAAGCCATCGCCGTTTATCAGTAGGTAAATAGCGCTAAGTATATCACCTCTACAGATTTCTTGAGCAGCGACTGTTCCATCAATAAAACATACAATTTAATAGAATTCGATAATATACATACTTGTAGCTTCATCCTACAATTGGAAGTCATGATACTAACAAATTTAAATTTGAACTTACAGTTCCTTAGGATGCTTCCATAAATTAAAATATGAAGATAACCAATAACAATTAAGATTTGAAGTCCATTAAATGAAGATTAACAACAGTGAACTTCATGTAATGATCAAACAGACATCACATTTCGTAATTCAAGTAAGTGTAAAAACAAATGTAAGAAAGACAAAATTCGACACAGTTATAGGTTAGTTTTAAACAAGGTAATTATAACGATCATTCGAAAAGTTGACTTTAAAGGCAGATATCTAAAATTGGCTACATAAGTTTCTTCAAAAGGAGAGTTGAAATTATGATCACCATAAATTCCCATGTAATACTTTCATTATCCATTGTGGTTCCATCCTAATACCGGAAGTCATGATTTGAACAATAAAATTTACATTATCTGAGGATGCTTCCATATGAGTATCATTTAACTTGGTTTTCCTTTTCTTGAGATGTCGATTTTTAAAAAAGATTTTCCCAATATCAAACTAATTGCCTATTGTAGCTTCACACTACCCCAGGAAGTCATGATTTGAACAAAGTAACTCGACCTGTAGATACCCCCCCAAAAAAATGACTGAGCATGGTTTTGCTGTTCTTGAATTATATTTTATGCAAATTCGTTTCATATTCCTATGTACAACTCTCACTACATATTGTGACCTGAGGTTCATTATTTGAACAATATTGAATCTACTCTATATAATAAAATTTAATACAACATTTTTCTGGCCCAGTAGTTCTTAACAAAATCATTTTATTTGAAAGATTTTTCTTACATATTTTGAAGTTAAAATTTGCTGGTCATTATGGGGCCAGACAACGCAGATAAATCTGATTTAAAAAACCCACACAAGAGCTCTCACCTCAGGTTAGCTAATTAAACACTGAATTGTTAACAATTATTTCGTAAAATTGAACATATTGATTTCCTGAAGGCATAATTTGGTATAAAAAAAACTACATTTATTACCATAATGAATTTGCACTGGTTTAATTTGGTTGCATAGCTCGCCAATGCAGCAGTTTCCTTCGACGGGTATATCAAAACCATCACTTCTTCCAATGGCATGTTGAACTGTGTCATTCATTGTTTCACAGCCCTTTAAACAAAGATATACGTAAAATTGTAGACATAGAGTTCAGTATTCAAGTTCAAAGTCCGTTCAAACAAAACAAATCAGGAGCAGAGCTACCATGGACCTTCAAAAACATCAGAGGTGGGATCAGGTGAAATGGAGGAGTGAGTATCCCCTGCCGACCGATCATACCCACTGTGTGCTCTTTGCCATGATGGAGAAACCAGTAGACAATTCAGTGTGTAAATAGTGGCCTAACGATAAGTATAAAAACTGTCAGTCAGCATTTGACTTACTGATATATAGACTACATTTGCTAACAATATCATTTTATCGACCATAAATCTATCGAAATAATATCAAACGAGACTGTTGATATCCTTGTTTATTCAACTTGTTTCTCAATAGCTTGCCTCTCTTGGAAATTTTTTAATAGTAGATCTTGCTTTCGCGTATCTAATCAACTGAGAGACATAAACCTGATGTGCAGGTAATAACTAATAAGGGTGATTTTCTACATAAGGGAGGCTCATAATTGAAATTATGAAGTCATGATTATCCTAAAGTTTTATGCTAGGGTACCATAAACGTCTTAGTAATAATAAAACATCCAAATTTGAAACAGATGTGTCAGAATCTATTAAATTTCAAGCTCACAAAAGTCCCTGTAAATTTATATACTTGGTACATGTAGGCATATTCACGAGTTCTATTTTTATTGAAAAGACAGTTGTCTACAAAAAGCATGATTCATAGTGAACAATGTTTGTATAAAGTGTTGTATGTCATCATATGCAGCATTTTTAGAAAGCGTCAATTTTTAGTTAAAACAGATTCAAATATGGAGAAACCCCGCTTTTGATAGTCCATTTGTACCTGGAGGATTTGCATCAGAAACCAACAAATGAAAACAGAGATAAATGTTTTGGGGGAATTTTGCTAAATCAGGTCTTTTTGTCTGAGAGATTTCTAGAATAGCTGTAATGTTAACAATTTCATTTAAAAAATCATGCATTTCTCTAGAGTGCATCATATGAATCTAAAAACAAGAGGCCCATGGGCCACACCGCTCACCTGAGCAAATGGGCTGGTTAAAAAACACAAAGCAGCTCAGTAATGAAAAGTTAACTTGTTCTGTAGAAGGGATTTGATTTTTTTTTACTTGAAAATGTCACTATTTCAATAAAAAATAAATGTATAATTTTGCATAATTGAGAAGAAGAGTTTCAAAGATTTTTCCTGTATATTTGTATGTGAAGATTTGATTGCTCATTATGGCCACACCTTACCCCTAGGGGTCATAAAATTTAAAAAAAAAAACTTGAATTAATTCTAACGGAGGATCTTTCCATATTAAAGTGATTTTCCTCTGTTTTCCTATGTAAAACTTTAATTGGCTTTTTTGGCCCCGCCCTACTTCGAAGGGTCATGATTTGAACACACTTGAATCAACACTACCTGAAAATGCTTCCACATTGGTTTCATCTTTGTTGGCCCAATGGTTTTGGAGAAAAAGATTTTTAAAGATTTTTTTCCCATATATTCCTATGTAAAACTTTGATCAAACATTGTGGCCCTGTCATACCCCTGGGGGTCATGATGTGAACAAACTTGAATCTACACTATAATGCTTTCAAATGAGTTTATCTTTCCTGGTCTAATGGTTCTGGAGAAGATTTTTAAAAAAGAATTTCCCATATATTCCTAGGTTTAACTTTGATAAGCCATTGTGGCACCGCCCTACCCCCAGGGGTCATGATTGGAACAAACTTGAATCTACACTACCCGAAGATACTTCCACATGAATTTTATCTTTCCTGGCCCAATGGTTCTGGAGAACAAGATTTTTTAAAGATGGCATTAAATTTTCATCAATTCATCATCATCATCTCCCCTTGGAAAAAGGCTTGGCCCTTCATTTGAACAAACTTGAATCCCCTTCACCAAAGGATACTTTGTGGCAGGTTTGGTTGAAATTCGCTCAGAGGATCTTTAGAAGAAGATGAAAAAGTGAAAAGTGTACAACAACAACGACAATGACAGACGACGGACAAATTTTGAGCAGAAATGGTCACTTGAACCTTCGGCTCTGGTGAGCTAAAAAGGTATGGCAAAACTGTCATACATTTTTTCAGGGCGTTGTTCCTACTATGAATTTCTTTTTCTTTTTTTATAAGTTTATACATGTATAGGAAATATCTTTTAAAATCTTCGTTTCAAAACCAGCCAAACCATTGCATGATTGGTGATATTTATATGGAAGCATCCCCGGGTAGTGTAGTTTTAAGATTGTTTAAATATTTAAGAAGTCTTGGTGGTAGGTTTGGGACACCATGTGGGATCAATTTTTACCTAGGAATATACCTTAAAATATCTTTATAACACGAAATCCATGATAAGTATTTTTTTTATATGGAACTGATGGAACCATGTTTAGGTGGTTCATCGTCTCAAGCAACAGTTCGGAGTCCGCATATAGCTTTCTCTCATGATCAACAGTGTAAGATTGACTTTTCCGGTGTGAGACAGCAGTGTGAGATTTTTCTGTCTCACACTGTGTATTACTACGCCGCGAACGATAACGTAAACATTCCGTCTTTATATAAAGAAATTGTGACAATGTTAAAAAATATAACATATACTTAAAATGTTGTCATTAATTTATTAAGATAAACCTTTTTTCTTTCAAAATAATGTAGTAATTTTACTTTTTAAATGGCACTATTTTTAGATCGCGGAGGGTTCTTCTTAAATGAAATTGTACGGTATCGGATAGATACGTTTTTTTATTCCCAGTTTTTATCTTTCTAATTGATTTACATGGACCGAAATTCATTTGATCAGTTTACACTACGTGTAAACCATTTTCAGGTACGCTCTATATAATGGTGTATTCAGATTTTTAATTATAGATGGAAAATTAAAAGAGAATTTTTATTTTTATATTTTTACCCCTATCATGGCGACATCATTGACAGGCCGTTATTTTGGAAGGAAATAATGCGAAAAAATAATCATTCATTACATACTCGTGTGGGAATAGTGAAATTCCACCTCGGGGCCAAGATTCACTGTCTAGGACTCGACTTTACTTATTCAGCCAAGAAATATCATATTCCCCTCGGGTGAAGCCCTTGGGAAATATGATTTTTCTTGGCTGAATAAGTAAAGCCTCGTCCTAGACCGTGAATCTTGTCCCCTCGGTGGAATTTCACTATCCCACACTCGTAGTAATGAATGATTCTATTAATCTCCTACCCGTGGCTGCTTGATCACAAAAAGTGTCGTAATCTTGAATATTTACGCCTCTCTATTTTGACGTCATATTCAGTCAATGACAAGTGTTGTTTCTATTAAGGAATAATTTAATTTTAGTTGTAACACGTAATTTGATTGGCTAGACGGTTTTATCCATTTTGTATAACATAACTTTCCTACGTCACAATGAGTGACGTCAAAAACGCATATATCTCCGCTTGACGTTAACTTTTAAAATATGCTATATTTGAAGCCTTTTTTCGAAGGAAAAAATGGAAAAATTGTCTCATTGTCTACATTGAAATTAAATTATAAGGAATGAAGCTTATTTCAACTTATGTTATACGCGAAGCGGTTTATAAAGCGTAAACTGTCCCAAGTTATGTTATATCGCATAACATAAGTTGAAATAAGCTTCAATCCTTAAATGAATTAAATAGCTACCCATTTTATACGGTATAAACTGGGTTGGGGCAGTTTACGCCTTATAAACCGCGAAGCGGTTTATAAAAAAGCATAAACTGTTCCAACCCAGTTTATATCGTATAAACTGGGTAGCTATTAAATACATTGCTTATAATTTAATTTTCATTCATGTGATGTAAGAAAAAAGATGGTTGTTCTAACAAAATGACTTTAATTTGTACAAAATTTGAATGTAACGTCAGGCGGATTGATATGTTTTTGACGAAAGTCATTGTGACGTAGACAACCCATTCTATATGATATGAAGTTAATTTTTTATCCAATCAAATACAGCGTTACGACCAGAATTAAATTATTCGCAATTGAAATCAACAATTTACATCAGTAGTATAGAGAAATATTTCGTACACTGCGATTGGGTAATGAATGGTCACATCAAAGTTCATCATCCGACTATGCTTTACTCGCATTTGCCAATGTTTTAATGAACTACGAGTGATTTTCTTCTCGTTCAACCACAGCCAGAATGGGAGAGGATCGTACATTTTGGCCGAGATTTGCGACGGATGCAGGTTTAGATCCAGGTTTGTTCAAATTATGACCCCTGGAGTTAGGGTATGGAGATAACGAACAGTATTCAATGTCGAAGTCCATGAAACAATTCAAAAAGGTACAGAACAAATACAGACCTCCAAAACATCAGAGGTGGAATCAGGTGCCATGAAAGAATAAGCATTCCTTGCTAACTGGTCACATCCGCCGTCTGCTCCTTGTCATGATTGGGAAATCACGGAAAAACCGTCGTCAATTCAGTGAATATTAAATAATGGGCTAACAATAAGAATGAAAAACGTCAGTCCAGTCAGCATTTGACTCAATGATAAATTGTATTTGCCGACAAGGTCATTGTATCGACCATAGAACTTACGAAATGATGACTTTAAACGTGACTGCTGAAATTCTTGTTTCATTAACTTACTTTCAATAATTTGCCTCGTTTTAGAAATTTTTAATACGTAGAGCATACTCTTGCGTATCGAATCAGCTGATAATATATATACTCCATATGCTGGAGATGAAGGTTTAATACTGCACAAATAAGGGAAGTTGACGATAGAAAAGTTAAAGTCATCACGTTTCTCATATAGCTTGGTTTTAAGATTACCATTAACATGATTAACGTCTTTTTCAAGTAAAATATCCAAGTATGAAACAGGGAATGGCCACAATGAGGAATCAAATTTTGCATAAGAATATATAGTAAAAATCTTCTCCAGAACAGAAGTTTTGTTTAGTCAAATTGACATGTAAATATCTACAATAAGATAAGATTTAATTTAATTCAAATAATGTCCTTTGGAAGGGGGTGGGGGGGGGGGGTAGTGAAGCGTCACAATGGAAGATCAAGTAATAAATTGGAAAATCTTTAACAATCTTCTTTTCAAGAATGGCAAAGTTATTCATGTATGCTTTACTGATAAAGTGACATTCTCCGGTGAGCGATGTGGCCCATGGGCCTCTTGTTTTTAATTTGGGACGGAGAGAGGTAATGATCTCAACAAAATAGATTATTTTTATGTCTTTAAGTGGAACACTAACCTTTTCATGAAGACATCCCAACCTATATTTATGAACTCCCTCTGTTGAAACCATTTTCATTGTGTAACATTTCTAGAGAAAAAATACAATTCCTTTTTAAATAAATCAAAAAATTTTAACCTGATCACTAGTCTCTCTCTCTCTCTCTCTCTCTCTCTCTCTCTCTCTCTCTCTCTCTCTCTTTTCTTACCTCACCAGGGCTACAAATTATTGTTGAATTGCAATTTATTGGACGATCAACACGAGGGCAATACATACATTCAACTAAAATAAGAAGAAGAAAAATTGTAAATTTTTAATCTACAATTTTTAGATATCTACAATATGCTAGCTAAGCTACATGTAACAGGCCTGGTCAGAATGGTGCAACTTTAGACTGAAATATACAAGTAGCCAATGAAATCAAAAATAAGACAAGGGGCCTATGAGCTATTACGCTCATTTTTATCTCGCTGTTCTAACAACTCGTATATATATATTTTAAAAATATTCCATCTTTATTCTTATAGAAAAAATATTGACACCAAATTACCCCATCAAGGCCTCAAGCCATTATAGTTAAAATAGATTCTAATTGAGCTAAATTAGATTCTGAAACATAAATATCATGGCACATATAAAAGATGCAATACTCGATTTTAGCCCAAACCTGTGCAATGAATCCAACACATATTTTGATAAAAGTACTTTGGTCGACCCGAGTAAACAAACCTGCTGTTCCACAGGTTTATAAAAGCTGATTTGGTAAGATAGTCACCCTAGCCTATGTCTAATTCTGTACACTGCGTTGGGATGCTTCAACATCAATGTGACAATTTTTTTTGCTGTTACAGAGATTTTTCCAGCATACATTTGTAAACGTTATCCCTGGATCCGGAGCCATAGAACTTAGACTAGCACACTTTTGTTTTCAATTTCACTTTTAATTTACTAAAGGGATGTATAAGAAAAACGTTTTCCCCTGGATCTCAATTTAAAAAGAAAAGTGCTGAATCTACACGACGTTTCAGGATTCATTCGTGACTATTTGGCATATATAGAAAAAAAAATAAATATATTTTCTTTTTATTTCAATATAAAATGAATCCCATATTGATCCCCAGTCCTATACCATGTTGACATGACTGTTAAGGTTTCGTCAAAGGTCAACATGTCCAAAAGTTTATTTTCACAATAGCCGCACAACTATGTGAGGTATAAAGTCAAAACTTATACAGTTTATTAATTTTTTTCATTTTTTAACAGATAGAAAGTATCACTTGATAAAAAAAAATACTTGGAATAATATTAATTGAGCAAAATTCTTCTTAAAAATGAATATAATTTTTTTAAAAAATACACTAATATACAGGTGCATTTTTCTTTAAATATGCACATATTCTGTTACAATTTTTCTCAAAAAAAAAAACTCTTTTTAAAAATATTTTTTATCAAGTGATACTTTTTATTTATTAATCAACGATATATTTATAAACTGTAAACGTTTTGACTTTATACCATACAAAGTTTCGGAGCTATTGTAAAAATAAATTTTTAGACATGTTGACCTTTGACGAAACCTTAAATTAGCAATACCTAAGTGTGCTTGATTTAAATATTTATGATGCCCCTCCAAATGTAGAAGAGAATTAAGATTTTGAAACGCACTTACAATAAAATCATATTCAAACTTTGTCGTATCACCTAGGGTCATGATTTCGAAAGCTTTCACAGAAATATCTTTTTTCTGGCCCTTTTCGTCGTTGATCATATTAAAACACCATCTTTAGCTTTGTTTTTCTTGATCATGTCTCCTTTTAAGATGGTGTATAGCCTTTTTTCTTTATCATACTTGAATCCCCTTCAACCAATGATGTTATTAGCTAATTTTTTTTTTCAATCTTTCAGGTAGTTCTGGAAAAGAAGTCGAAAATACGAAAGGCACAACGACGCCAAATAACAGACGGACAAACTTCAATCAGAAACACCCTCTTACAGCTTTGGCTAAGGTGAGCTAAATATACTTCAGCTAGCAGTAATCTATGTGTGTGTCGCATTTACCACATAATCCACATGTTCGAGGACATGACTGTTGGAAACAAGACCTTGTACACGCCCCCGCCACTGAGCTTTTAAAACTAGCACATGCTTTTGGATCTATGTCGTGACATACTAAAAAATAAAATTTCAATGATTACAGCCTTAAGTGTATGTTATCATATTTCAAAGTTGAAATTTATCCTAATACAGACATCTTACCAATAAATTAGCAAGTAAAAGAAGTAAAAATGTATAATAATATTTAATAAAATATATACACTGTGTAATAAACATAAAGGTTCATTAATTTAGTACCAGTCCTCTTAGTCATTGTTTCCCTTGAAACGGGTCTTGTTGAAACTTCACGATTTGCCTTCGATGACAATGCTATTCCATTACAGAGATCCGTTTTACAACAACTCCCTCTGTGATCATTGCAAACTCCGGGACTCTGACAGCCCTCACCATACAGTTGGTTACATACCTTTAAAGTTTCTTGTATGTGTATACAGAATATTTATCTGAATAGAAGCATCATATTAACAGAATTAAAATGAAACAGATCAGAAAATTTTTGTTATCGAAAAGTCGAGTTTACAGTTCAAGCGAGTCTTCCCAATCAAAGTTTGTTATTCATATCTACTTTTTTTTTTTACGTTTGACGCCTTAAATCCAACTGGGTCAGTTTCAGTATCCTTGAACACAGAGCATCCTTATGTGCATGTAAAGGTGGTTTAATTTTTTTCAAATCAAAGGTTCTGCTCTTTAACAAAGTAAAACAATAAAGTGCCGGGGAAGTACAATTTGGCTTCGTTATATCAATGGTTATATATGCAAAATCTTTTTTCGACAAAATTGAAAATAACTTCCATAAAGCAATCATTTTAAAAGTCCTTATGGGAGCTCCGATCTTTGAATTGCGACAGAAGTTCCTTTCTTTATTAATTTTTCTGAAGATTAATATTATGACAGACACTCAGCGAAATATAAAGGGGAAAAACTTGATCATTATGTCAGAAATGATTATGTGTTTAAGAAATATTTAAAAGAATCGTGTAAGAAAGTTAAAAGGCATATATGCGCACCACCAATTTTTTAGCTTTTAGCATATCGGATATGATAAATGTTGTGATAATATTATCTTTGTTTACGATGCTCATTGTAATAACTGCGGTATAGAAGAACATGTTTTAAATTCTAAATCCAGAAATCAAACTTATACTCATAGGAATCTTTCTAAGGATGATTGATTGATTGGCGTTGTTTAACGTCCCTCTCGAGAATTTTTCACTCAATAGGAGACGTCACCACTTGCCGGTGGAGAGTTACAATTTCGTCCTATACTCGGCACTCAGGGCCATCAATTTGAGCAGTGAGGGATCTTTTTCGTGCCACCACCTAAAGCGACACGGGACCTTGTTTTATACGGTCTCATCAGAAGGACCGGTCTCCACGTCCTACAGTGGGATTCGAACCCACGACCTTATGATCAACTCTACTTCGCGAGTTTAGAGCAGACGCCCTAACCTCTGCGTCATACAGGTGATTTATAAGGATGAAAAGTCTTCAAAATCAATTTGACTTTTTTATACTTCTGGTGAATGAATTTCGATCTACCTATATTCCTTTTCTTCTTTCTTAAAAATCCATATAAACATTGCGTAACCTGTCCTATCTTTGCTCCCCATAAAAAAATTAATTGCAGTAAAAGAGTATTCACAGCATAATAAAATAGAAATACAGAATAATTATTATGATTTCTAAATGGAAAAATGATTTGTTAATAATATTTTATTTTACCACATTCCTTACCTATAAAACGAATTTTCCCTTTCCTTAACAAACCTTACTTTTTTGCCAAAGCAGCAATCTGATCATTATTAATTGAATACCTGCAGAGTAACACAACCAAGTCTGTATTCCAGGGAAAAATTGGCTGACAAAGTCTTTTCCTGGATGCAAGACTAAAAAGATAAAAATGTGACACGATTTTGCATAGTCGCTAGTATTAATGATTATCTTTAACTGCCCCATCCTTCTTATATATATTTTTTTCTCCCAACAACAAAATATAACTTTGTTAAAAACTTGTTTCTCTGCCATGTTAATTTCAATAAGAAATTATTCTTACAAAGTGGTCGTTTTGGCATTCTTCAGTTGAAGTACAACTTGCTGGGTTCACAGACAAGCAATGATAACATTTTAAAGCTGTAAGGAAGGACAAAACATTTTAATAAAACTGGGATGTAATACTTTGTACATTGAAGTGTAAGCAATTTGTAGTAAAGCACTTTTATAACTAATTGATTTTGAAGTAATTGAAGTCCATTCCCTGAATGTAGTAACAGAATAATTTAAGTGGTATGTGTAAGGATATGTGTAAGGATGTGCATGTCTGTGCGATGGGGGGCGTCCTTGCTTACATATTTCAATGCATGTAGAGAAGGGATATCGCATTCGTAAAGTACGTTTAAAAACATTTTCTTGTGCATTTAACAGAAACATCATTTAAAAATAATATAGAAACTGTCTGTGGTTTCATCTGATACTCACGACACTTCCCACAAAATCGTTGACACATCTGTGAAAAACAGTCATCGCTACAGACATCTATTGTGTTGTTCAGTCCTTGACAAGCTATGGTGTTCACATCATCACATGAATAGACAACACTAGTTAATGATAACAATATCACAAACCAGCTGGGAATCAAGTTGATAATCATCTGAAAATAGATTTATATTAAAATATAAAGCATCAAATAATAATGTAAATCGATATGCAGATGCTATGATCCAAAATGTGTGTATGTTGTGGGACGCCGTGGAATTTATACTTTTCCTGTTTTGAATCTTGAACACTGGTACATAAGTCTTTTACGCATCTTATATACATAAACTGAAAATGCAGTTATGTGCAACTTATATGCAACATGGAATAGGAATACCTTATCTTACTTTTTTATAATTTTACGCACCTTTGCTTTGAAAATTTGATTTTCTGGAATGTCAGTAGTGATATCATAAGCAAAATATGAGGCATGATTAATGCATGCAATAATATCAATGAAACACTAAAGGTGAAATTTTAAAAAATCCCAAAATATTTTATCCTAAAAATTATCTGTGTTAATTTGATTAACAGAAAATAATTCTAAAAACATATTACTACTTTCACAACCAACCTTTTTATCATAACCAAATGAATCTCACTGAAAAAAAAACCCATATACATGTAAATGAAAATGATTTTCGATATGCGTACCCTACCTCAATATATCTTATTTGTGTACTGGATCTAGGCACACCAGTATTTCATATTGTCCAACTATAAAAAGATAACGAACAGGAACTAATAGTGAATCCTTTAAGTTATCTAAAACTAGATCATGTATATAAGGTTATCGTTCAGGAATATATGAGGAAATGTTGTATATATGCGACGTTATTTATTTTGTCCCTCTGCTACCATGATTATGAGATATGGTTTCATAAAAAGTTTCTATATATATATACTAAAAAATAAAATCTGAAATAATAATAAAGAATAAAGAACCACTTTTTTATTTCACACAAGGTCGACAATTTTGTACTCTGAATGAAAACATGAGAATGGCTTTTTAAAGCAGCAAGGGTGTATTTGCACAACCAAACAGTTACATGTACTTAGGAACAACTAACTATATTCAACATGGAATAAACCTTGGAAATGCAGCACCTATCAAGCAGGCAGACTGTCGACTTCCTTCATAATGAAATATTAAATAGACAAATATTAAGTAAAAATAAAATGATGGATTAAGGAATCATCTGCAAGGGCGAAACTGGGCTTAACTAAAGATTCAATTCAACTTGATATACAACAATTACCCCGATAAATTAAAGTATAGAGTTTTAACATCATTAAAAGCTGCTTTTTCAATTAGTAAAACTGGTAAATTTGCTTTCCATGTCTTTGACCATTTACAAAATTATTTTGTTACAAAACAATCTGATGGTATACATAAGAACTTTAAGTTGATACTGTATATGCTTTAGTTTCTGAGTTTTCCAAGAATCTATTGGACTTTGGTACTAAATAATAAAGCCCTGTTATTAGTGGACCTAGTTTTGTATTCATATAAAGCAGAATTTGTTCAAAATCTTCTACGTGGAAAGAGGAAAATCCTTGTTGTGGTCTTTAACTCTACATTTAAATATATCGACGACGAATTGTCAATTGACAATGCACTTAATGTCGATACGATATATCCTGGTGAGCTTGAGATAAAACATACCACAGAGTCTGACACATCTGTTTCATCTCAATATATTTTACTAAAACTTGGTGGTAATATCACAACCAAGCTATATGATAAATGCGATGACTTTAACTTTTCATCGTTAACTTCCCTTGCGTATGCAGCAATATACCCTTATCATCTGCATACAGGGTTAATATCTCTCAGCTGATTCGTTATGCAAGAGCTCAATATGTGAACAATATCTAAAACATGGTTGGCTATTGAATATCAGCAGTTTCGTTTAAAGTCATCATTTAGTTGGTTAGTTCTAGGGTTGACATAATGACCTTGTCAGCAAATACAATCTATCATTGAGTGAAATGCTGACTGATGTTTTTCATACTAATTATTGGGTTATTATTTGCACACTGAATTGTCGATGGATTTTTCTGTTATTTCCTGATTATGATAGGAAGCACACGGCGGGTGTGACCTGTCGACAGGGGATGCTCTTTTCTCGATGGAATCTGATCCCCCTTGATGTTTTAGAAGTCCTTGTTTGCTTTGCTTCAAAATTTGTATTGTTTAAGGGACTTCTGATCTTGCATACTGTTCGTTTTCTCCAAATATTTCATTTGATTTGATTATAGTCGCATGAATTCTGTAACATCCAATTATTTTGGATTGTCTTCCCATAACCCTATGTTGACGATTGACTAAATCCTTTTGGCGGTTCAAAGTGTTTTCTAATGTCGATTTACACGTCGTTTTATTAAAAAAAAATGAATTCAAAACATGCAAAATGTGAATCAAGCAAAACTCAGGTTATAAAACATATCATCTTAATAGTTAAATAAAATATCTTTTTGTATTCATCACTACAATTTGATATATGTCCGACAATTTTTCTAATCTAATTTAGAAACATGCATAGAAACCTGGCGTTTATAAACATATCCTCAATTTTTCATTGCTTGCAATGACCAACATTTGTTATTTCTAGATCACGTGTGACTTGGGTGATTGTTGTTGAAAATAAAAAATCAGAACCATTAAATAGAAAAATTAACATTACCGGTATATAAAATGATCTCAAGTGATTTTTTGGCGTTTCCATTTCGCCTCATTAAACTGTGAAATATAGATATGAAAATGTGAAGAAGTTCTAAGGCGAAGTGAGAATTTTATGATTCCTTTGTAGAAATATTAACTGTAAATTAAATAGATGTTTGTTTTACAAGTAAGTTAATTATTTACACAGTTTAAAAAGAACTATTTTGGAAGTAAATTGAAAAAAAAAGCAATGGGTAAATATTATCACTGGCCTTTAGAGTCATTGTACAATAAAAATTAAGAAATTTGTATTGAAAAAAAATATTCATGAAACATGAAAATGTAAGTTATTTTATGGTTGTATTGTCTTGGAAAATTCTATATATTGATTAAATGTTTCATGTAAATCTTAAATGTATTATAATTCAGTATTCTACAGAATTTTTAATGCTTAAATTTAAGTCTTTTCGTCTATTTTTCAGATTTTGTATCATTTTTGCATAATATTCACTATTTTCTTCACATATTCTTATTTTGATTTCCCACGTACACAAGTCGTTCGATCAATTCTAATTTTTTGTTTGTTTTTGACTTGTCTGATCTTATTAAATACTAGGATACGAACATGCCTGTGTTTCAGTGCGACTCTAATCTCATTTACCTGCTATTTTACAAATTGTTTATGTCGTATGTAGCCAACATATATGTGCAAACATGCTGCAGTATAAATGTAAGTACAAGAAAATATAAGTTAAAGTTTACAAATAATACATGAATGCTTGATTTTATTGTACAGTGTATTTTTAGCTCACCTGAGCCGAAGGCTCAAGTGGGCTTTTCTGATCACATTTTGTCCGTCGTCCGTCCGTCCGTACGTCTGTCTGTCCATTTGTTCGTCTGTCTGTCCGTCTGTAAACTTTTCATATTTTCGACTTCTTCTCAAGAACCACTGGGCCAATTTTAACCAAACTTGGTACAAAGCATCCTTGGGTGAAGGGGAATTTAAGTACCAGTCCACATAAAAATCAGACAAAACTGTAAAAAAGTGATACATGAAGGTTTTCAGAATTTGATGATTTTCCACTCATAGATTTATTTTGAAGTATGAACAATGTATTTAAAATGAAAAATGTTTTGAGTCATGGTAACCATGGAACCCCGGCCAAAGAAATTTCCTTAGCAACGGGCGGATTTTTCAGTCTTGAAGGACAAAAAATCACCTATCTTTGAGGCTTAAAATAACATGTAAATACCATGAGAATTATTCTTACTTACGGGTGTAATAAAGATACACATTTATTGTGTTCTAATAATGTAATAAAAAATATTTAGGTCTTAAGTCAGTTCTGTGGTAGACATTGGAAGGTACACATGTTTTACAAGTTTTGCTGATTCAGCATTTTTCGTGATTTTGGCAATATTCAAGGCCAAATTTCAAAAATGGCCAGATTAATACAGTTGTTGCATGTATTTCACATAAAAGCAGAGGTATTTCTCTTTTAGAATTTGAAGTCAATTCCATGGGCTCTTTTGAAAATCGAAACTGTTGCCTAGCAACAAAAAATGGGCTTTTTGATGCATAAAATGAGAAACAATGTAAAAAGTTTACGAAAAAATCAAATGAAAGGTTATTTATGATAAACGAGAAACCAATTTTAAAACAGTATAATTAATTTCGGTCTCCCTAGCAAATAATTGAATATTGCATAATTCTTTATCTCCATAGCAACGGCAGGTTCTCCATAGCAACAGGGCAAAGAAAGGTAACTTTGGCGTGTATTCGTGTTATCTTATTAAGGCTTATTCAAAATAAGTCAGAAAAATCCGGATGAGCAAATTTGACAATGAAATGTTGGTAATCTTAATTTTTTTTTCGTCTTTAATTAACACATGGCAACGATTCCCAGTGCATGGCAACCAATGTACCCTATGCGTCCTGTAAAGAGATTTGACTTTTGGATCAGTGTTCGTCATGGAAATGAATATTAAATTAATGTGTTGATGATTGTATTTATGGAGAGTGGTGAAAAAATATATGAAATGTTCCATCAATTGTTGTCATGGCAACAACTACATGTGAGTGAATTTAAAATGGGGCGATTAAAAAAACACAGTATAAATTCTTGAACAGAACTGTGACTGGGCGAATTTAAAACAGGGCAAAATTTCTTGTATGTGTGAACGGGCAAAAATCATATGAAACCTAATTAAGGATGTTTTCCATAGATAATGTTCTAATGTAACTTGTACGATACTGTGGATTAGATTCAAGACACTCACGGTGCATTTTATTTTTCCGGAACTGTTTTCATTTCCTTATATTTTTAAGTTTTCATCTCTGACATTTTTCAAGCAGTCCTTTTCTGCAATGAAAGTAGCTAGGATTTTTAAAAAGACTTAACTCATGAAAAATATTACAGAATATATCATGAATAAATCATTGAAATCCA